TTTTCAAGTTTTAGCTTCACAGAGAAATATCTTTTCACTATTTCTCAAGGTTTGTGGGCATCAATTCTGTGGTATTTTAAGGATTTTTAAAAATGTTAATACTTGTTTAAACATAAAAGGTAACTTGGCCAGGCGCAGTGGCTCACACCTGTAATCCCAGCACTTTGGGAGGCCGAGGTGGGTGGATCACGAGGTCAAGAGATCAAGACCATCCTGGTCAACATGGTGAAACTCCATCGCTACTAAAAATACAAAAAATTAGCTGGGCACGGTGGCGCGTGCCTGTAATCCCAGCTGCTTAGGAGGCTGAGGGAGAATTGCCTGAACCCAGGAGGTGGAGGTTGCGGTGAGCCGAGATAGTGCCATTGCACTCCAGCCTGGGTAACAAGAGCGAAACTCCGTCTCAAAAAAAAGATAACTTTAAAAATACTTGATCAGTGCAACACAAAAGGCTGGGCATGGTGGCTCATGCCTGTAATCCCAGCATTTGGGGAGGCTGAGGCGGGTGGATTGCTTGAAGCTAGGAGTTCAAGACCAGCCTGGGCAAAACCATTAAACTCCATCTCTACAAAATATACCCAAATTAGCTAGCATGGTGCCCACCTGTAGTTCCAGCTACTAGGGAGGCTGAGATAGAAGGATCTCTTGAGCCTGGGAGGTTGAGGCTGCAGTGAGCCATAACCTCATCAGTGCACAGCAGCCTTGGTGACAGAGTGAGACCCTGTCTCTAAATTAATAAAGACTTTTTTAATTCAGAAAATTTCACAAGGAAATGAGAGTTTTTAGAAGTCTTGATATTCTGACTTTGGTCAGAATGTCCAATAGAGACTAGTGATGCATAAGAAAGGAGATGACGAAAAGAGTCAATATCTTAAGGAAGGTGAGAGCCAGAGTGGTGGAATTTGCTTCTGACAAGACACATCTTTCCACTGAAAAGAAAAATGCAAGAGAAAATGAATGAAGATTTGAAAGTCTGACGTTGAAGCATTCCCCACAGATGGTTTTTATTTTCTGAAGTTGAGGCAAGGTCACCAGCTAAAAATGAGAGGTGAGGAAAAAGGATGTGAGAAATTTGAGAAGTGAACGTATGAATGGTTAATCCAGAGACTGGAATAGCATTGCCAGCCAGTGTTGAGTGCTCCTGAGAGGACTGAGCTCATGAATTAAAACCAGCTAGACTGTTATATGACTGACTGACTTTTCTCCAGCAGCTTTTGCTGTTTGGATGCAAGCAATGAGGAAGATCATCTGGAGCATGGTTTAGTCTACGCAAGGTTGATATTCTTTCAAGCAAAGAAGGAGACAGTGAGACACTGAGATTAGAGATTTGAAAATGTATTTTACAAATATGTATTGATTGGGAGAAAAAAATAAGAAAATGTTTGTTATGACAAGCACTGATTAGGGAATTTAAGGCAGGTGAGTTGCAAAATGATTATATGATGACAAAGGCAGAAGAGTTGAGTTTTTTAAAGTGTGGGGGTTAATAGAGTGGAGGTCTTAATTAGGTAAATGAGAGTACAAAAAATTAGCTGGGAAAAAAGGCTAGTGATTGACAACTGGGAAGCCTGAAATTGAGATTTCAACTGATGACAAGGTTCAGAGTCTGACGCAGAAATGGTTAAGACCGAATAGAGGAACAAATTGTTGGAGATGGAAGAGGTCAGAGGTCTAAGAGGCCAAGCGTTGGTGTTGCATGGGTCACCTACAAGGATGTTGAATTCAGATAGAATGTAGACAAGAGGGACAGTGAGGAAAACCTAGGGCAAGCAGCTCTATAATTTCTGGGAAGTGGCCAGTAGGCTCGTGGATGATGGCAGTAAAGATAGTAGAAGGTGATTTAATCAGAATATATGAACTTCAAATATTTCTGAAGGAGAAAAGAACAGAAGTAGTTTGGAAGTAGTAATTAGGACGAAAGAGACCACCCAACTCAGTGGCCCAACCTCTTAGCCTCAGGGTACACAAAATATGATAAATGTAACCTCAACTTCTGGAGCTCTACAGCAGTAAATCTGCAAGTAACCACCTATAGCTTATGTCCAGGGATAAGAAGAAGAAAGATAATGAAAATGTTTTTGCTCAGGGAACATTAATTTCAGGCATCTAGAATGCAGTTCTTTGTGAATTATATCTTGAATGTTGGCCTGTAGGACATGATATTGTGTATTCAAAACAACTTTTAGACTCAACAGTTTGGTGAGGGATTTTTGGCTTGTTTTTTTGCTTGTGGGGGAAAAAAAGATGAGTTATTGTCTCTAAGGATTAAACTATCTGGAAAATTTCTGGGGAAAATTCCTATGAATAGAGTTCCAATGTTGCATTCCCAGGGGGCTTTGAGACTCTGATATTGTACTCTACACACATAAAACTTAGGTAGAAGAATATTATCTTGAAATATCAGTGATGCCTCCTCCTCTGAGGATCCACTTAAGGGACCTGGCTGCCCAGGTACTGTCATACCATAGGGCAACTGTCCGAGCCTGGAGAACCTGCTATGTATTCCACCTTTGTCAGATAAAATCTAGCCCTGGTGACTCTGACCCTTTTCAGTCGGAACAGCAAAACCTACTTCTTAAAAACCAATAGTACAGTCAAGCTAGAACCAAATCTTCCACTAACAAGCTAACAATTTAACAAGGTAATTTGTTAATTCAAATAGGGTAGAACAGACTCACCAACAGACCCTGCAGAGATGAAGCTCAGGACTTTGTTGCTCCACCCATTATAATGTGAGATTATACTGGAAGAAATAATTGAACTGTGGTAGGCCCATTGCAGATTGGGACAGTCCCACATGCATTAGATGTGCTGGCTTACCAGTCATTGCAAAATCGTGGTCCTTTGCCTCTAAGCTCAGTTTCCCTTCTGAAGATAAAAACATTTGCCTGTGTCCAGGGAAGCTGAGGGGGCAAAAAAACCAAACAACTTTTACAAGGGATCATAAAAATCTACCTAACAACTTGCTAATTAAAACCCAATTTTAGGCCAGGCGCTGTGGCTCCCACTTGTAATCCCGTTACATTGGGAGGCCGAGGTGGGTGGATCACTTGTGATCAGGAGATTGAGACCAGCCTGGCCAACACAGTGAAACCCTGTTTTTACTAAAAATACAAAAATTAGCTGGGCTTGGTGGTGGGCACCTGTAATTCCAGCTACTGGGGAGGTTAAGACAGGAGAATTACTTGAACCTGGGAGGTGGGGGTTGCAGTAAGCTGAGATCGTGCCACTGCACTCCAGCCTGCGCAACAGAACTAGACTCCGTCTCAAAAAAAAAAACCCTAATTTTTTTCAGTACTTTTTAATGGAAACGACTTGACCAAAAATTTGTCACAGAATTTTGAGACCCATTGAAAAAGTTTAATGAGGAAAAAAAACCTGATTTTTAATTTGCATTACTAAGTTTAATACCATTGCTTAATAATACTCAGAGAATACTGAGATTTTTTATAGAGGAATTAAATAATTATCACTAAAAGAAATAATGTCTCCTCAATTTGAACAAATGAGCTTAAATCCTAGGAAACATTTTTAGTGAAGGCATTTGTTTTAAATGTATTCTAACTTAACAGTGTAGAAAGCAACTAAACATTAAAAAAAAATTTAACCAGTTTCTAAAACATAGTTTGGAGCTCAGATTCTGGGGAAATGATTAGGATACCCTAAACCCAAGGTCTCCTTTCCTTTATTTCGTTTTAGTTTTTGAGACGGAGTCTCACTCTACTGCCCAAACTGGAATGTAGTGGCTCAATCTCGGCTGACACCTTCGCTTCCTGGGTTCAAGCGATTCTCCTGCCTCATGAGTAGCTGGGATTACAGGCACGCGCCACCGTGCCCGTCTAATTTTTGTATTTTGAGTAGAGAAGGGGTTTCACCATGCTGGTCAGGCTGGTCTCGAGCTCCTGACCTTGTGATCTGCCTGCCTCAGCCTCCTGGGATTACAAGCGTGAGCCACCGCACCAGGCTTTCCTTTCCAGAACGAAAGCTTCTTTAAACATACATATTTATCAGAAATACAAGTATTTGTCATGAGTGATACAAATTTCCAGGAAAAGATTTTAATTGTAGTAAATTTGTTAGATTCTATCAGGTTTTAACTCAGATCAGTAATATGGGTTTGATTAGGGTTCTAGTCCTAATGATAGGTCACTAGGCTTCCTTTAGGGTTTTGTACCATCTCAGTTATTTTTAATTGACCAGAGAAGGTTCCCAAAGGTTCTGCTTCGTTTTGTTGTTTTAAGATTCTTACGGGTGATGGGATCCACAGCCAGAGATGGCTTTCAACAAAATTGCATGCGTGAATTTGTCTTGAGTCTCAACGCACTGTTCAAATTAAACAATTTAGACATGCCCCAACTGTAAGACCAAGAAGTGAATGGTATAGTACAATTACGTCACAAATTCAAGGGCAATCTAAAGTGCCGGATGGTAGAGGTCTGGCTTCTCCTGGGTTTCTGGAACAAAAGAAGCGTTCGCGAGTCGAGAGAGGAGTGCGTAACTCCCTGCCCTCCCCCTCCCAAAGTAAATCAAATCAAGGCATATGAGTGCCTACAGACAAGCCTCGCTTCTTTTCTTAGCGTTTGGGGAAGGCAAGGCTGTGGGTACTCTTCGGTGCTTCAGTGTCCCGGCAGAAAGAAAGGCCCAGCCAAGGGTCCTCACAGCTGGCGTAGAATTCGGCCCGTTCGTAGGCGATCGACCCCAGAGAGGAAAGCTGCTTCTCAAGCTGGCGGAAGGAGAGGAAACGGCGCACAAAAGCAGTACGATCTGTCCCCTTATCGGCGTCTAAGGCGAAGGGTGGAGAAAATGAAAACAGAAGCGGGCCGGGTGCCTCGGCTCCCGCCCCAGCGCCTTTTAAACTGCGTTTCTACCTCCTCTCGCTCAGCGCGGCGGCTAATGGAACCCGCGCGAGCCCTCCCGCCAATCAGCGCCGCGCTTCCTCCCGTCGCCTGCCAATGGCGGCGCGCGTTCTTGGGGCGTGGGCGAAGCAGGCTGCTCGCCTCCTGCCTGTAGTGTGTGGGCTGGGGTTGGTGCGGGCTTCCAGCTTGGCCGCACTTGGTCCCTAGTTCGGCTCCGGGGGCTTTTGTGTCCGGGTCTGGCTTGGCCTTGTGTCCGTGAGTTTTTGCTCCTCTCCGCGGCGTTCCTCCCGGGCAGGAGCCGTGAGGCTCGGAGGCAACACCGCGGCCCCCGACCAGGAGCAAGCGCGCCAGCTTGAGCGGCGGCGGCGAAGACTGCGGGGAGGGGGCTTCGCAGATCCCCGAGATGCCGGAGTTCCTGGAAGACCCCTCGGTCCTGACGAAAGAGAAGTTGAAGAGTGAGTTGGTTGCCAACAATGTGACGCTGCCGGCCGGGGAGCAGCGCAAAGACGTGTACGTCCAGCTCTACCTGCAGCACCTGACGGCGCGCAACCGGCCGCCGCTCGCCGCCGGCGCCAACAGCAAGGGGTCCCCGGACTTCTCCAGTGACGAGGAGCGCGAGCCCACCCCGGTCCTCGGCTCTGGGGCCGGCGCCGCGGGCCGGAGCCGGGCCGCCGTTGGCAGGGTAAGGACGTGGGGATGGGGCCACAAAGGCGAGCGTTTGGTGGTTGCCGCGCGCGCTCGCCGCCCGCCGCAGCCCCTCCCTCCCGAGCGTCCCTTCGGGCCTCCCAGGTGCGGTGCTGTCCCTGCGTCCCCTCGCGCCGCCCCTTCCGCGCTTGGCTGCAGGCGCCGGAGCGGAGAAGTCAGAAGTTGGGGCCGCGGCATTCGCGTTCTTTGACCTGTGGTCTGGGAGGTGTGGAGTTGCGTTGGCGGCGGTTGTTTTGCACGCGGGTGGTGGGGTCCCCGCGCTGGCGATGTCGCGTCCGTCGACCACCAGCCGCCGGCAGCGGGCGTTTAGACGAGGACTTACGTGCCCTTTCGAAAGCTCACGAGGGGTGGCCCCAAAATGCGATAGGTTAAGTTCGAGCATTTTCCCGCTTTATTAACTGAAATGACTCGCAACAGAGTCTCAGAGCGCTCCCTGGAGGGCAACTGATGACACACTAATTTCTAACCAAAATTTGAAATGAGAAAATTCCCGCCTTTTTATACTTTTGCGTATGGAGGGCTTTTTGAACCGTTTATGTTTTCTAGTTTGTCTTAATCTTTCCTTGCAACAGGCCATCTTTTGGCGGGACAACTTCACGCCAAATTAAAATAAGCATTTTAAACTACATTTTTAAGCACCTATCATAAATATTTAAAAATCTAAGTAAATTAAAAATCACTCACAGTTTGGATTGAGTTTTCCCCCGTATTGGTAAATTTTGCTTGAGGAAAGGAAAGACTTAGGATTCAGGAAAATTTTATTTCATGACATTCTGGTGTATCGATATTGCAATTTGGAATGTCTGATCCCAGTTAAATCTCAAATCGGCTCTAGCAAAGCGTGTTTTGTTTGAGAGTAGTGTGCTTTTTGTTCTGTGGATTTTAAAATGCTTTTTGTGGGTTTGCTTATGCCTGCCGAGTTACAGGGCTTCACATCGTAATAGGATGAAGCTAAACCTAGTAATGGGTGTAACTTAAGCCTTGTAAGACAGTGAATGTGGTGTTTGAAGTTGTTATTGATCACTAGTGTAAACCAAAATTACTCCTTCCTTCAAAGTTTGCAACACTTTGGTTTTTAAAGAACCTGTCTAATGTGTTTTCTTGGCTACTCAGGCGGAAATAAAAGACAAATGTAATAGACACATGTAAATTTAATTGAAAATCTTAGCCTGGGCTTTAGAGAAGTTGAAAGTTTTAACGTCTTGAGTACCGTGTCTCAAATGGTAGTGCCAAATATATGTTGGACGAATAAAAGACCAATCACACCTTACTGTTTCTGATATCTTGTTTTATGGGAAGCTACTTTTATTAATAATAAATAAACTTACTTTTGAAATAAAGCGTACCCGCTTACCCATTATGTCGCCCTGCTCTGAAAAAGAAAGTATTTAAACCCTTTCAGTAAAGGCCAGGCGCCGTGGCTCACACCTGTAATCCCAGCACTTTGGTGGAAGGCCGAGGCGGGTGGGTTACGAGGTCAGCAGTTCGAGACGAGCCTGACCAACATGGTGAAACCCTATCTATACCACAAATACAAAAATTACCCAGGCTTGGACTCGTGCCTGTAATCCCGGTAACTTGGGAAGGTGAGGCAGGAGAATCCTTGAACCCGGGAGGCGGAGGTTGTGGTGAGCCGAGATCGCTCCACTGCACTACAGCCTCGGCGACAGTGAGACTCTTGTCTCAAAAAAAACTCTTTCAGTAATAATTTGGTTGAAAAAATCCGCACAGTTGAGAAAAAACCTAGTTCTTCTCTAAAACCCTGTGTTGGTCCTCTGTGCAAATGTCTTAAAACGTGAAGTTTTTTGTTCTATGCTTATAATAGAATTGCTGGTTATTTGCTTATTTTTAGGCAGGATCTCTCGCTCTGCCTCCCAGGCGGGAGTGCAGGGGTGTGATAGCTCACTGCAGCCCCAAATTCCTGGGCTCAGGAGATCCTCCTGCCTAAGCTTCCCTGAGTAGCAAGGGCCATGGGGCATGTGCTACTGATCTTTTTTTTCTTTCTTTCTTTCTTTTTTTTTTTTTTTTTTAAGACGGGGCTTTCTGTGTTGTCCAGGCTGGTCTACAACTCTTGGCGTCAAGCAATCCTGCCTCAGCCTTGGTTCCTATTTATTTTAGGGACGATTACTTTTACAAGGCAACAACCGTCTCAGTTTTCATGTTTTTCTATCAGCCACTTGGTAAAAGATTTACTTCCCGATCTATCTAGTGTTCTTTGGGGGGTAAGAAGACTAAATGTAAAAATTTTTAAATTCAGATTATCCAGCAATTTTGAGTTCCTACCATGTGTTCTTGACTACTGGATTTAACTTTGGGGATTTTAAAAAATGAATTGTGTTTATTTACTCATATATCCAATTCATATGTTAATTGAAGTTGGTAAGCACCCTGTAAATAAGTTGTGAATAAAAGGAAGTAATTTTTGTTGTTGTTTTGGGGGTTTTTTTGTTTAGTTTTAATTTTTCTCTGACTGATTTACAAAGAATGTTTTGTGTTGAGACCGGATCTCTGTCCCTCCAGTTGGAGTGCAGTGGCGTGATCTTGGCTCACTGCAACCTCTGCCTCCTGGGTTCAAATGATTCTCCTGTCTCGGCCTCCCAAGTAGCTGGGATTACAGGCGTGAGCCATCACGCCCAGCTAATTTTTGTGTTTTTAGTAGAGCTGGGTTTTTACCATGTTGGCCAGGCTGGTCTCAAACTCCTGACCTCAGATGATCCTCCTGCCTCAGCCTCCCAAAGTGCTGGGATTAGAGGCAAGCGCCACTGTGTGGCATGGAAGTAACGTTTTTTTAAGAGTACCTAGTAGGTCTGTTGACATGGTAATTAAGCTGTTTGTATTTCATTTAATGATTTTATCCATATAGAGAAAACTTATTTCCTAATTATAGGTTTAAATGTCTTCTACCTGAAGTTTTTTTTTTTTTTTTTTTTTTTTTTTTTTTTTTTTTCCCCCAAGACGGGGCTTCACCATGTTGGTCAGGCTCGTCTCAAACTCCTAACCTCAGGTGATCTGCCTGCCTCAGCCTCCCACAGTGCTGGGATTATAGGCGTGAGCTACCTCACCCGGCTCCCTGAAGTATTTAAAACTCAGAGGTGGCTGGTCAAGGTGCCTCAATCCTATAATCCCTACACTTTGTGAGGCCTAGGCCGGTGGATCACTTGAGGTCGGGAGTTCAAGACCAACCTGGCCAACATAATGAAACCTCGTCTCTACTAAAAATACAAAAATTTAGCTGGGCATGGTGGCCAAGTGCTTGTAATCCCAGCTACTTGGGAGGCCTGAGGCAGATGAATCACTTGAACCCTGGAGGCAGAGGTTGCGGTGAGCTGAGATTGTGCCATTGCACACCTAAGCAACAAGAGTGAAACTCCGTCTCAAAAAAAAAAAACTCAGATGTCTACCCTTGACTGGGCTTAATATTAGAGCCAACAAAAGAAAAAATATTTGTAGTCAGTAGCATCATTTTCTGTTTTAAAGTACATTAAGTATAAGTGAGTTATAATTACGAATCTGGTCAATGTTTTTATCAGGCATAGGAAAAAATAATTTTGAATTTACAAAGAATCTTAGGACATTTGTGATAATTTATGTATAAAATTATTCTTCACCTGGGTGTGGTGGCTAATCCTAGTACTTTGGGAGGCTAAGGTGGACAGATCACCTGAGGTCAGGGGTTCAAGACCAGCCTGGGCACAATGGCAGGTGCCTGTAATCCCAGCTACTTGGGAGACTGAGATGGGGGAATCGCTCGAACCCTGGAGATGGTGGTTGCAGTGAGCGAAGACTACCCCACTGCACTCCAGCCTGGGCAGCTTAGCAAGACTCCATCTCAAAAAAAAAAAAAAAAAAATATATATATATATATATATTCTTCATGTCAGATTCCTCTTATATATACTATGTTTTATGTTTTGGTCATTTTAGCCCCATATAAAAATAATACCAAGTCATATTTCTTAAAGAATCTTTATAATCTGCATAATGGGATGGCAAAATAGAAAAAAAGATGTTTATAATATAGGAGAAAGCCAAATTATGTTTGAGAGTTGCAGATAAGGCAGATTTTTAACATTTTAAGACAAATCAAACATCAGTGTGGATTTGGCCAAGATTAAATATTTGCATAACATACACCTTCTATTTAATCATGGGTTTATGAGGAATATTTTTAATTACAAAAGAAATTGTTTCATTTCAGCCTCTATCATAGACTCTTGAGTTCACTCAGTATAACATGAGAAAACTTTGCACGTTAAAAGTTTTGCTTTGATTTCGTTTTCTTATTTCTAAGCTTTTTATTTTATGCATCTAGGTACCAGTATTTTTAGGTGTTAGATTTGTGGACACAAAAATACACATTTACAGAGTTGGCAGTTTGCTTTTTTGTTCTAAGGGGCAGAGCATGAAGGCACAGCTGTTTGAATCTGGTGGAGCATAATATTCTTGAATGATCTGTTCTGGTGAATTATGAGTGTGTGTTTGGGTGGGGTTTTTTTTTTTTTTGTTTTTGGGGTTTTTTTGTTTTTTTTTTTGAGATGGAGTTTCACTCTTGTTACCCAGGCTGGAGTGCAATGGCGCGATCTTGGCTCACTGCAACCTCTGCCTCCTGGGTTCAGGCAGTTCTCCTGCCTCAGCCTCCCGAGTAGCTGGGACTACAGGCACGCACCACCATGCCCGGCTAATTTTTTGTATTTTTAGTAGAGACGGGGGTTTCACCATGTTGACCAGGATGGTCTCGGCCTCCCAAAGTGCTGGGATTACAGACATGAGCCACCACGCCCGGCCCGGTTTTTGGGTGTTTTTTTTTTTTTTTGAGATGGAGTTGAGCTCTGTCACCCAGGCTGGAGTTCAGTGGTGGTATGATACCGGCTCACTGCAACCTTCCACCTTCCAGGTTCAAGCGATTTTCCTGCCTCAGTCTCCTGAGTAGCTGGGATTACAGGTGAGTGCCACCATGCCTGGCCAATTTTTGGATTTATAGCTGGGATTACAGGTCCACACCATCACAGCCGGCTAATTTTTTTTTTTTTTTTTTTTTTGTATTTTTATTAGAGACGAGGTTTCTTCATGTTGGTCAGGCTGGCCTTAAACTCCTGACCTAAGGTGATCTGCCTGCCTCGGCCTCCCAAATATTTTTAGAATTTTATTTATAATTCAAGACCAGGCTCATCTTGAACTCCTGGCTTCAAGGGATCCACCCACTTGGGCCTCCCAAAGCGTTGGGATTGTAGGTGTGAGCTACTGCTCCTGGCCACATTATGAATTCTCAGTAGGAAATATTTGAAGACTTGGAAAAGAACAATAAAAAGTAGGCTGCCAATAAGAAATGTTAATTAAATCACAAATTGACCATGACTGTTACAATAAAATGTTAAGTGTGCAGACTTGTGAATCATAGAGTTAATACATTCAAATTCCAGATCTGCCATTTATTCATATGACCCTGAACAGTGTCTTAATCTAAGATCTTCCATTTTCACCTGTAATGGAGAAATAATCTAATAGCAATACCTACTTAGTCAGATTGAGGATTACATGCAGTTGCATATGTGAAGTGTCTAGTGCTCAGTAATTAATACCTATTACAACAAATGATTTCTGAATTTTTGTCTTTAATGTCAGGTCAATACAGTGCAAAGTTACTAAAATATAATTTTGGGAAGCCAATAACATGGATATATGAAAGTAATGTGTATATTATAGCATGCAGATATCCTGAGTTAGTGAAGCGCATGCTTGAACCTCAGTTTTCTAAATTGTCAGGTGGGGATATTAGTATCTTATTCCATAGAGTATTTTAGGATTCTGTAAGTTAATATACCTGGAACACAACTTAGTATATAATAAGTGCTCAATAGAATCTGTTACAATACTGTTACAGTCCAGCATCTTTGATACTAGAGGTAGAGATTAAAGGAGTTAGAGTAGCTCATGGGTGGTATCAAAGAACTCTTGGGGTGTATGGGTATGTGTGTGGTGTTTGTTTGTTGAGATGGAGTCTCTGTCACCCAGGCTGGAGTGCAGTAGCATGATCTCAGCTCACTGCAACCTCTGCTTCCCGGGTTCAAGCAATTCTTCTGCCTCAGCCTCCTGAGTACTTGGGACTACAGGCTCATGCCACTATGTCCAGCTAATTTTTGTTTTTTTTTTTTTTTGGTAGAGAGGGGATTTTACCATATTGGCAAGGCTGGTCTCGAACTCCTGACCTCATGATCTGCTCACCTCAGCCTCCCAGAGTGCTGGGATTACAGGTGTTTTTATCCTTATTAAATTAGAGATTTATAAAATGACATTACTTTTCTGGAATTTTTTCCTGACAGATTAAAAATCACATATTTGGCCAGGCACAGAGGCTCACACCTGTAATCCCAGCACTTTGGGCTGGCAGGTGGATCACCTGAGGTCAGGAATTCGAGACCAGCCTGGCCAACATGATGAAACCCATTTGCCGAGGCAGGTGGATCACCTGAGGTCAGGAATTCGAGACCAGCCTGGCCAACATGATGAAACCCTGTCTCTACTAAAAATACAAAACTTTACCAGGCATGGTGGTGTGCACCTGTAATCCCAGCTACTTGGGAGGCTGAGGCAGGAGAAATGCTTGAACGCGGGAGGCAGAAGGTTACGATGAGTCAAGATGGCACCACTGCACTCCATCCAGCCTGCGTGACAAAGCAAGACTCTGCCTTTATAAAAAAATTTTTTAAAAAAGACATAAGATATTTTTTGAGATGGAGTCTCGCTCTATCGCCTTGGCTCACTGCAACTTCTACCTCCTGGGTTCCAGTGATTCTCCTGTCTCAACCTCCTAAGTAGCTGGGATTATAGGTATGCATCACCACACCTAGGTAATTTTTGTATTTTTAATAGAGACAGGGTTTCACCATGTTGGCCAACCTGGTCTCAAACTCCTGACCACAAGTGATCCGCCTGCCTTGGCCTCCCAAAGTGCTGAGATTATAGGCATGAGCCACCTCGCCCATCTCCGAGAGATTTCTTGGAAATCTCTCGGGCACGTATGAAAAGTTGGAATTTCCTGGATGTTTTGTTGATAGTAAATTTGAACATTCTGTGGTAGCGTGGATTATATACAAATAATTTGAACTTGATTGATTGTTTTTTCATATTTTACTTTTATTTTAAGCATTATTTAGTTTCTCTATACTACCGGACTGTACTTTTTGGAAAGTTCGAATAAGTCAGTAACAAAGGATTGAGTTTGTTTGATTAAATCTTTTCTTGAAAGAAGTAAGTCTTAGAACTTTTAGATTATAGGCAACTATTTGGATATTATGGTGTGGGTTGCTTCCAGATTTGAGCCTGGCAGTTCTAGGTTAGTGCAATGTTAGGTGAATTAAAAGCCTGCTGAAAGTACCCTCACTGTAACTCTCCATAGCCATCTTTTTATTAAAGATTTTTCTTGAGTTAACATAATTATTCTTATGAGCAACTATCTTTTTGGTGAGGGTTTTTTGGCTTCTGATTATAGAATGATTAGCAATTAACAGCTTTTAAAAAAAGAATTTCTCATAGCTTGCTTTATTTGAAGTATTTCAGGCCGGGTGCGGTGGCTCACGCCTGTAATCCTAGTCATTTGAGAGGCTGAGGCAGGCATATAATTTGAGGTCCAGAGTTAGAGACCATCCTGGCCAACATGCTGAAACCCCATCACTACTAAAAATACAAAAATTAGCTGGGCGTGTGGTGCACACTTGTAATCCCAGCTACTCTGGAGGCTGAGGCAGGGGAATTGCCTGAACCCGGGATGGAGAGGTTTCAGTGAGCCAAGATTTGTGCCACGGCACTCCAGCCTGGACAAGAATGAGACATAGTCTCAAAAAAAAAAAAAAAGATTTGAGGCTGACAGTTTTAGATCAGAGTATTTTTATTTGTTAAAAACAGGGATTATAGTACATAGCCAAATAATGCCTGATTTTCCCCCCACTAATATTACTGGAAAGTGAGCATTCCATACAACTTGAGAATTTTAGCCTTTTTCATACAATTCTCTTTGATGTTGTAATTCTTTTAACAGCCATTTTTTGTTCAGTACTCTGTTTTTGCTGAGGGCACTGACCCATTTGTCAGGTTGTTTGCCACAGCCTTAAAAGGTATCCATACTTTTGCTTCCTTTTTACTTGTTCAACCTTGGAAATTTAGTTTTCCCAGTAAATACTGCCGTTGTATAAATTAATTTTAAAACTTTAAAAATTTCTCTCAAAGTTTGTTTCATGTTATTTTGATTATTTTTAGTAAACTGATGGTACAGAAGTGAGTCTGGTGACTAAACTGTCACAGATGATAATGTAACCATGAAGTCTGTCAGATTTCTTCCTGGTCATAAACTAGCTACTAAAATAACTATGTTTACAGTCCTCTCTCCTATCCTGGGGGTGGAGATTGGTTACAGGACCCGGCCATGGTTATCAAACTCTGGGGATGCTTCAGTAAGTCCCTTAATATAAAGTGGGGATGACACACATCCTCCCATATACTTCAGATCATCTGTAGATTACTTATAATGCCAAATACAATGTAAGTGCTATGTAAATAGTTGTTATACTGTATTTTTTATTTGTATTTTTATTGTTGTATTGTCATCCCCCCACGCCCACCCCCGAGTATTTTTGATCTGTGATTGGTTGAATTCACAAATGTAGTGAAACTCCTTGTAACATTTTAGTAGCTAGTTGTTATCCCTTGCCATCAGAGTTATATGCTTTAAGAAATGAAATATAATTTTTGGTTACTTAAGCTGTGTGCGATGGCTTACACCTGTAATCCTAGCACTTTGGAAGGCCTAGGTGGGGTGATCACTTGAGTCTAGGAGTTCAAGACCAGCCTAGGCAACATGGCAGAATACTCATCTCTACAAAAAAAAAAAAAAAGCAGCAGCCAGGGTTGGTGGTGTGCACCTGTGGTCTCAGCTATTTGGGAGACAGAGGTGAGAGGTGAGGGTTGCAGTGAGCTGAGATGGTGCCACTGCACTCCAGCCTGGGCGACAGAGGGAGACTATCTCCAAAAAAAAAAAGGAAACAAGGAAAAAATAGTTATTGAAAAGAAAATGTTATCTAAAGTCAGTTAGTTTTACTTTTATTTGCTCTTTTAGATTTTTGATGTCATTACTACCTCTTTTAGATAAGTAATCCAAATGGACTACTTTTAACAATAATGTCTTTAAAATTTAAGTTACTTGCTTGTCTATTAGGTTTGTATGATTACAGTTCAACTTAGAAAATATTTTCCAATAATGAATTGCTCTTAATTTAATTAAATTGCCAAGGCCTAATATTACTATAAACCAACTTGGTGGTGAATTGTATGTTTGTTATCCAGTGTTGTTATCTAATACGTGGACGATTTTTAATTCATGTGGAAATGATTACTGAACTTTGTTTACAGAAAGCCACAAAGAAAACTGATAAACCCAGACAGGATGATAAAGATGATCTAGATGTAACAGAGCTAACTAATGAAGACCTTTTGGATCAGCTTGTGAAATACGGAGTGAATCCTGGTCCTATTGTGGGTAAGTTGATAAAATTTCAAATACAGTGTCTTTTCTCTGAAGTGAGACCCCAAATTATTTTCTCCTTTCACTTAGCAGTTTCTTTAGGTTCTAAGGACTGGTTTGTCATTAATCATTTGTATTAGCAGAACCTATCTATCTATCTATATTTTTATATATATATATATATTTTTTTTTTTTTTTTTTCTGTTTTTGACATAGTCTTGCTTTGTCTCCCAGGCTGGAGTGCAGTGGCGTGATCTCTGCTCACTGCAGCCTCCGCCTCCTAGGTTCAAGCGATTCTCCTGTCTCTGCCTCCCAAGTAGCTGGGACTAAATGCGCATGCCACCACGTCTGGCTAATTGCTTTTGTATTTTTAGTAGAGACAGTTTCACCATATTGGTCACGCTGGTCTCAAACTCTTGACCTCAGGTGATCCACTGGCCAAGGCCTCCCAAAGTGCTGGGATTACAGGCATGAGCCACCACACCTGGCCACCTGTGTTTCTTTAACTCTAAATGAGTGAAATAAAATGAGAGGATTGAGTTGGATAATCTCCAGAATTACTTCTGTTGTTAAGATTTTGTTGTTTTTTGTTTGAAACAGAGTTTCACTTCAGTTGCCCAGACTGGAGTGCAGTGGCATGATCTCGGCTTATGGCAACCTCCTGGGTTCTAGCAGTTCTTCTGCCTCAGCCTCTCAAGTCGCTGGGATTTTAGGCATGCACCATCACACCCACCTAATTTTGTATTTTTAGTAGAGACGAGGTTTCTCCATGTTGGGCAGGCTTGTCTTGAACTCCCGACCTCAGGTGATCCACCCATCTCAGCCTCCCAAAGTGCTGGAATTACAGGTGTGAGCCACTGTGCCCAGCTGTTGAGATTGTTTTATATGATGCTGATATCATACTTCTGCTGAGACATGGGTCTTATATGACAGTTGAGGAAAATCTGAGGTAACATAGCTGGCCAACTTTGTGCGAATAAATGAGTTAGTGGCTCGGCGCAGTAGATCACACCTGTAATCCCAACACTTTGGGAGGCCGAGATGGGAGGATTGCTTGTGCCCAGGGTTTCAAGACCAGCATGAGCAACATAGGAAGACCTCATCTCTACAGAAAATTTTTAAATTAGCAGTGTGTGGTGCCACAATTCTGTTGTCCCAGCTACTCAGGAGGCTGAGGCAGGAGGATTGCTTGAGCCCCCCACCCCGGGGCCAGGGGTGGGGGGTTGTCAAGGTTGCAGTGAGCCATGATGGCTATTGTACTCCAGCCACAGAAGTGAAGCAAGACCCACTTTCTCAAAAAAAAAAAAAAAAGATGACTGACTTGTTAATGCCGTTATTAAATTCCTAGCCTTAGTATCTTTTTTTTTTTCCTCTCTGAGACAGTTTGCTCTTCTCACCCAGGCTGGAGTGCAATGACACGATCTCAGTTCACTGCAACCTCTGCCTCCTGGGTTCAAGCAAGTCTCCTGCCTCAGCCTCCCAAGTAGCTGAGATCACAGGCATGTGCCGCCATGCCCAGCTAATTTTTTGTATTTTTAGTAGAGACGTGGTTTCACCATGCTGGCCGGGCTGGTCTTGAACTCCTGACCTCATGATCCGCCCGCCTCAGCCTCCCAAAGTGTTGGGATTACAGGCATATGCCACCATGTCTGGTCTGTTTTGATATTTTTTCTTTTCTTTTTTGGAAACAAGGTCTTGCTCTGTTGCTCACTCTAGACTGCAGTGGCATAGTCACAACTTGATGCAGCCTCAACCTGCTGGGCTCAAGTAATCCCACCTCAGCCTCCCAAGTAGTTGGGAACACAGGCATGTGCCACTACACGTAAATAATTTTTGTATTTTTTGTAGGAATGTATTTTTTGTCACCATATTGCCCAGGCTGGTCTTGAACTCCTAGGCTCAAGCAGTCCTCCCACCTAGGCCTTCCTAAATCCTAGGTGTTTTTGGCATGAGCTACTGCATCTGCTCTTGATAGTCTTAAAGTTACATAAAATTGTGAACACTAGAGATTTGGTAGGTTTTGCTATAGGTGTAGTTGCAAATAAAGATTTAGAATATTTTGTTTTAATGTATACACTGCTTCCACATAATAGTAAGCCTATTTGTGTACAGTTAGTTATCAATGGATATCCATCAAACTCTTAACATTTTTTAATTTAAAATTCTAAAAGGGCCTGGGCATGGTAGGTCATGCCTATAGTCCCAGCTCCTTGAGAGGCCAAGGCAGTGGAATTGCTTGAGCTCAGGAGTTGAAGAGCAGCCTGGGCAACATAGTGAATCCTCGTCTCTATCAAAAAAAAAAAATTAGCCAGGCATGGTGGTGCATACTTGTAGTCCCAGCTACTCAGGAGGCAGAGGTGGGAGGATTGCTTAAGCCCACAAGTTCAAGGTTGTAATTAGCTATGATTGCATCACTGCACTGCAGCTTGGGAAACAGCTAGACCCTGTCAGAAAAAAAAAATTTCAGAAGGGAGACTGAAAAATGTGTGTTTATAATATCAGCATACATTAAATTACATGTTGGTGTATCACCTGTTCATCTTAAGGCTACTTATATTACATTTCTGGACACATATTACTTCTAAAAACAATACTCATTGTTATTTTGCTCATCCTTCAGAAGTTAAAGAAAGACTCACAGCTAGTGTAAAACAAAATAAAATCTATTTTGGTTTTAAACTGTCATTGCTGTTGGAATTTATGATCAATTTTGCTTTCTGATATGTGTTTTCCATGAAAGGTCATTTTAACTGCAAAGTTGTATATTTAAATGTGATTTATAGAACTTTTCCCTATAACTGAATGGCTAATTACAGGCATATTGATATCTTAGAGTTATGGAAGTTTAATCATAGTTATTCTTCATAGATGTACAATCTCCTTATATGTTATCTTGCTACGTTGGTGAGTACTATTACACAGTAATGGAGAAAATACACAAGTTTAAGACTTTAGTCAAAAATAGCTATATATGGCTCTTTAGTAGGTCATCTACAGTAAGGCCTGTGTTCATCTACTATGTATTGCATGCTATTAAAAGAAATGTCGTTTCTCAGAAAAACACCTGTTGTAGAAAAGAGTTCATTATATAGTTGTGGGTACGTGTTTATTTATTCTTTTTTTTTTTTTGGAGATGGAGTTTCACTCTTGTTGCCCAGGCTGTAATGCAGTGCTGCAGTCTCCGCTCACTGCAACCTCTGCCTCCTGGAGCAGTTCTCCTGCCTCAGCCTGCTGAGTAGCTGGGATTACAGGTGCCCACCACCAGGCTTGGCTAATTTTCTGTATTATTAGTAGAGACGGGGTTTCACCGCTTTGGTCAGGCTAGTCTCGAACTTCTGGCCTCAGGTAATCCACGGGGCCCAGCCTTTTCAGCCTTTTTTTTTTTCCTTTTGAGACAGTGTCTCACTCCCTCGTCTGGGCTGGAGTTCAGTGGTGCGATCTTGGCTCACTGCTCCTTCTACCTCTAGGTTCAAGTAATTCTCCTGTCTCAGCCTCCCAAGTAGCTGGGATTACAGATGTGTGCCACGCCACCTGGCTAATTTTTGCATTTTTAGTAGAGATGCAGTTTCACCATGTTGGACAGGCTGGTCTCAAACTCCTGACCTCAAGTGATACACACCTGCGTCAGCCTCCAGAGTGCCAGGATTACAGTCATGAGTCACTGTGTCTGGCCACATTATATAGTGTTTTTAAGAATTTGAGTTTAGAAAAGGAAAAGGTGAAAATAAACTTAAAATGTTGCTGAAGATATTGTCCGAGCTGCACCCTAAATGAGACAATACAAGTACTAAAGCAAGTTCTGCTTTAACTCAGGAACAACCAGGAAGCTATATGAGAAGAAGCTTTTGAAACTGAGGGAACAAGGAACAGAATCAAGATCTTCTACTCCTCTGCCAACAGTTTCTTCTTCAGCAGAAAGTACAAGGCAGAATGGAAGTAATGATTCTGACAGATATAGTGACAATGAAGAAGGTAAAATTTTAAATGATTTGATCAAATGTATGTAATTTTTTCACACAAAATGCAGTGACCATGAAGAAGGTAAAATTTAAAACAATATTGACAAGATATACAATTTTTATTAATGTCATTAGGATAATTTTGTTAGTAATTTGATTTAAATACTTTTTATTGAGAAATCTAAGAAACAACATAGTACAAATTTCTAATTTTCCATCACCTCAAATTGCCAGTTAGCTTATCTTTTTTGCTTCAAATCTCATTTTTCTTTTTTTTCCCCATTTTTCTGAGAGAATAAAGTATTACAAGTAAAGGCAAAGTTTCTTGTACTTACCTGTACCAGTTGCCTCCACAGAAGTGTAACTACTGTTATCAATTAGATGCCTATCTTTCCAGTTTATTTTTTACGTACACATTTATCTAATACATGCTATTATTTAGTACTTTAAGAATAAAAATTGATATAAACAATATGCTAAATCTTAATCACTTGCTTTCCCTTACTCGGTATTTTTAAAATCCTATTAATTACATCTCTATTTGTTTGTTCCTCATAATTAATACATAGTGGTAGCATTTAAATATGGCATATTTTCTATGGTCTCTATTGATAGGCATTGAAATTATGTAGTGTTTTTGTTAGTCTGACCTCAAGGCAACTTTAAAGCAAATATTTTGACCATATTCTTAGTAGACTATGGTAGCTTAAAATTTGATCATTCTGTTTAAATATTTTTTTAGTACATTAAAGAAGTGTCCTTTAGGGCCGGGTGTGGTGGCTCATTCCTGTAATCCCAGCACTTTGGGAGGCAGAGACCAGTGGATTAACTGAGTTCAGGAGTTTGAGACCAACCTGGCCAACATGGTGAAACACCGTCTCCTCTAAAAATACAAAAATTAGCCAGGCATCTGGGCGCATGCCTGTAATCCCAGCTACTTGGGAGGCTGAGGCAGGAGAATAGCTTGAATCCAGGAGTTGGAAGTTGCAGTGAGCCAACATTGCACCACTGCAGTCCAGCCTGGGCAACAAGAGTAAAACTGTCTCAAAAAAAAAATTATAAGTACAACTTGATTTTTGTAAACTTTTAATTCATGTCTTGTGATTATTTGACCCAAATTGTTTATATCTCCATAAGCATTGTCTATCAGGGCAAATCTGCCAGATTAGTTATTCAGAATATGAAATTATAGTCTTTTCCTTTGACAGCACTATTTTTAGCAAAGAGGCAAAAAATAAAATGAGCTCAAACACAGGTAATGCTTAAACTTCCTGCCTCTTTTGCCTCTACAGGAAAGAAGAAAGAACACAAGAAAGTGAAGTCCACTAGGGATTTTGTTCCTTTTTCTGAACTTGGAACTACTCCCTCTGGTGGTGGATTTTTTCAGGGTATTTCTTTTCCTGAAATCTCCACCCGTCCTCCTTTGGGCAGTACTGAACTACAGGCAGCTAAGAAAGTACATACTTCTAAGCGAGACCTACCTAGGGAGCCTCTTGTTGCCACAAACTTGCCTGGCAGGGGACAGTTGCAGAAGTTAGCCTCTGAAGGGAATTTGATCATTTCATCCAAGTCTAGCCATGATAGGTGTTTAGAGCAAAGTTCTTCATCATCTTCTCAGCCTGAACACACTGCCATGTTGGTCTCTGCTGCAGCTTCTCCTTCACTGATTAAAGAAACGACCACTGCTTACTATAAAGACATAGTAGAAAATATTTGCGGTAGACAGAAAAGTGGAATTCAACCATTATGTTCTGAGAGGTCCCATATTTCAGATCAGTTGATTCTCTCCAGTAAAAGGAAAGCACTAGAAGAGTCTGAGAGCTCACAACTAATTTCTCCACCACTTGCTCAGGCAATCAGAGATTATGTCAATTCTCTGTTGGTCCAGGGTGGGGTAGGTAGTTTGCCTGGGACTTCTAAATCTATACCCCAACTGGATGTAGAAAACATACAGAAGATAATTGATCAGTCTAAGTTTCAAGAAACTGAATTCCAGTCTCCTCCACGAAAAGTCCCTAGACTGAGTGAGAAGTCAGTAGATGAAAGGGATTCAGGTTCCTTTGTGGGATTTCAGAATATACCTGGATCTGAACTGATGTCTTCTTCTGCCAAAACTGTTATCTCTCATTCACTCACTACCTTAGGTCTAGACATGTGTAAGCAATCACAGCATGATAAAATAGATGCCTCAGAACTCTCTTTTCCCTTCCATGAATCTATTTTAAAAGTAATCGAAGAAGAATGGCAGCAAGTTGATAGGCAGCTGCCTTCACTGGCATGCAAATATCCAGTTTCATCTAGGGAGGCAACACGGATATTATCAGTTCCAAAAGTAGATGATGAAATCCTAGAGTTTATTTCTGAAGCCACTCCACCAGCAGGTATTCAAGCAGCCTCCACTGAGTCTTGTGACAAACAGCTCGACTTAGCACTCTGTAGAGCATATGAAGCTGCAGCATCAGCATTGCAGATTGCTACCCACACGGCCTTTGTAGCTAAGGCTGTGCAGGCAGACATTAGTCAAGCTGCACAGATTCTTAGCTCAGATACACACCAAGCCCTTGGGATTCTGAGCAAAACATATGATGCAGCCTCATATATTTGCGAAGCTGCATTTGATGAGGTGAAGATGGCTGCCCATACCATGGGAAATTCCACTGTAGGTCGTCGATACCTCTGGCTTAAGGATTGCAAAATTAATTTAGCTTCTAAGAATAAGCTGGCTGCTACTCCCTTTAAAGGTGGAACATTATTCGGGGGAGAAGTATACAAAGTAATTAAAAAACGTGGAAATAAGCACTAATAAAATTAAGACAAAAAGACATCTGATCTTTGATATGGGGAACCCAGAAGCTTTTCTATGAATTTCGGGTACTTTATGCCAACATTTTCTTTTCTGTTAAGGTTATTTTAGTTTCCAGACCAGGCTAATTGCAAAATGTTAAGCTTCTACCCATTAAATTACAATATAAAAGTAATTTCCTGTATAGAACTACTTTTCTTTTTTACAGATTTGGATAGATAGGAAGGCTGGTACAAACGATTTAAAGCTTTCTAGATCACATATTAGTCTCTAAGTGGTTTTCTATTTCCTGTTTTACTTACACTTTTATAATTCGCCAAAAAAAGAGAATTCTAATTAGGCTATAAGGAGTCTTTACTGTTTAATAGCATAATATGTATTCTGCTTTATACCTAGGACAGAATTAAACATTTACACATTCAGAACAGTGATTTTGTTTTTGATACTTTTATCTCAGTATCTTTTCACTTTCTAAAACTTACCTATATTTTTGCTCATATTTTGTTTATTTACTCATGTGTGCAACATCATTCATAGTAGTCTAGATCAATGCAACTCAAAATGCCAGTCCACAACTGTTACTAATCCACAGGCAAGATAAGCATGCAGAAGAATTTAAATCTAGAGATACTTTTTAGGTCAGTTATCTTTTCATTGACTGGTAGCAACCAATTCATGGACCACACTTTGAGAAACACTTCTTTGGATAATAGTAGATATCCTGGGATAGTGCATGTTCACCATCTATTTTGTCAGATAATGGGGCTTTAAAAAAAAATACTAATAATACTTTGCTTTCACGATATATTGTATTTTGTGGAAAGTTAAGTTTAACAATACAGAATCTAAAAGCAAATTTAATATTTTTAAGCCATAAGAAATTATACTATATTCCAGTATCTGTGTATCTGTATAAAGCAGTGTATTATCTTTTCATTTCTCTGATTGTAAGATAATAGTCTAACTATAGAAGTATTGTGGAAAATGGTAGCCCTAAGTGTAACAAAATACGGTCTCTTGGGTACTCCCTCTGGCCATTACCACATTCTTAGATTATACGTGTCTATCTTTGCAGCTTTGTGAGAGTAATTTTATTTGTTGTCTTCTGAAATGTACATGTATACATGTACCTACTGAGTGCTATGTGATTTTTTTTAATGTAATACTGTAGAATGCTTCTGCAAATTCAATAAAGTTGTTAAATTTGAACAGTGTTGTGTGGTCTCCAGAAACATGTTGTTATGTGTGCTTTATTCTTGGAGTTGCATCAAGTTGAACATTTGCATATGAACACCCCTTTTCCATTTCATCATTAAAACTGACTTTGACATTTCGGTAGTATAATTGAAAATATTCTGATTATTATATGGTTTTTCTTCCGTTTGAGGAAGAAAAACCATGTTTTTATTGACTGTTGGAATCTAAATTTATAAGAGGAATTTAATCTGTAACTTGATTAAACGTATTTGTTTAATCCGTTTCTATTCCACTACTAATGGGTCTTTTTACTTTGTGGTTTCTAATTCTTAGATTCTGAGTTAACAAAGCATAAAATGGACTTTATATTGCTGGGGGTTGTACCAAACAAAAAGATTTGATAGATCATATTCCTGGATTGTTAGGCTAGTAACTATCATGGTGACAAGTCAAACTATATTTTCTTCTAAGAAATGTTATTTTTGTTCTATGGAATGGGATGAGAAGTGATTTATGATTGTTTATACTTTTCTGTGAACAAGATTCCTTTACCTCAGTTGTGTCTAGGTTTTTTGTAACTAGATCTAAAAACCTTTTATACTGTACTTACTAATGTTACGGCAGTTATTTATTAGAAAAGCTTGGTGCTATATGAGGTTTTTTTCTGTTTCATTTTTAAAATTTCCCTTCCATGTTCCAAATTATAATTTAGTAAGCCAACCTTTGCTGTACAATAGTAGTATACTGTATGAACAAAACAATGGTAACAACTCTGTGTTTTAAATGGCCTGTTTCCACATCTAAATTGTTTTTAGTGAAAAGATTTTGTGGGAGCATTTTGAATTCACTTCATGTTCAAAACTATTAGTCCCAGATAAAGGAAAGGAGAAATAGGAAGAAATGGTCAGATGAAAGAGGGAGATAAGCAAAAAATGGGATAAATCATGGAAAAGTTTTCAAGACATATTGCAGTTAGACAATTTTGACTAGTGAGGTATTACCAGTAGACTTGTTTTTTACCTTTTAATGTGCCTAAAACCAGGGTTCCAGATTAATATTAGGAATACATTATCATTTATTGTGTTTCCAGAGAGTAATGGTTTCTCCAATGTTATTTCCAGACTCTAAAATAGAGCTCAAGCTTGAGAAGAGAGAACCACTAAAGGGCAGAGCAAAGACTCCAGTAACACTCAAGCAAAGAAGAGTTGAGCACAACCAGGTATCTTTAGTTTTATGATCACCATGTACAAGTATAAATAATCTGACAACACTAATTTTTAGCCTTTAAGGGTTGACACCCAGATTCCAGCACACTAAATAAACTTAATTCTGTTGTTAAATGATATTAGAAATCCCCAACTTTGTGAGTTTGGTCAGTAGTGTAGCCTTTGATTACAGCAAAAGCAAGTTTTTAATATATGTCTCATCTGTGAGTCTGTGCTAAGCGTAGTTCAAAGGCATTTATACTGCATCTTGAAGAAATATTTTAAAAGGTGGAAATATCTAGGTACTTTTGACACAGTTTCTTTAAAAGGCAATGGAAAGGTATTATATTTGTGTCTTTGTCTCTAGATTTCTCACTTTGATTTTATGTGCCTGTCTTGTCTTCTGTGATTCTTCCCTAAACTCTGAAGCTAGTCAGGTCCTAAGACCACAGTTTTCTTTCCTAATTTCAGATGAAAATTTGCCTTTTTTATTGTGGGAGAGGCAATTCAGTTTTTCAGAACTAAAATTTGAGAAACTTAAGGGAAAAATAAGCATAGGTGTAAATGAACAGAGAACCAATTGTTGACTAACCCAGCGTTAATTTGGCTAATGCTTTATAAGACAGCTATTCCTAGAGTAATTTACCCCTACTATATCTAGCACAAAGATCTGCCTAGTTGGTTATTTATCCTTTCCATCTCCTGTTTGTCTTTTTTTTTTTTCACTTTCTGAGACAGAGTTTTGCTCTTGTCGCCCAGGCTGTAGTACAGTGGTGTGATCCCTGCTTACTGCAACCTCCGTCCACCACATCCTCCCCTTTCCCTCAGCAAGTGATTCTCCTGTCTTAGCCTCCCCAGTAGCTGGGATTACAGACACATGCCACCACCCCCAGCTGATCTTTGTATTTTTAGTAGAAATGGTCACCATGTTGGCCAGGCTGGTCTTGAACTCCTGACCTCAGGTGATCCACCCACCTCAGCTTCCCAGAGTGCTTGGATTACAGGTGTGAGCCACCACACCTGGCCTGTTTGCCATTTTAAAATCAAATCCTTAGAGGAATTATTCTTGACTCCTTAAGCCAAATCTTTCCCTTCATTTGCTTTAGTTGATAAGTTGAATTTCAGAACGATTTTTTGGAAATGAGTTTAGTGACAAGAATGTACAGAGCATTGAATGAATGAAGATTTTGTTTAACATAGAACCAAATACTGGAATACACATTTTACTGCCCTTTTATGTAGTAGTTCCTAACAAAGAGCTTCAGGAGCATGTTGAAGAATAAGGAAATAACAGAACAAGAGAACTTAGGAAAATCTGGTGAAGGACACTGAAACAGAGAAGCATGGAAAATTTTGGTCCAAAGTTTGAAGGCAAGATGATATGGTGCTAGCAAGAGTATGTGACTGATCATATAATAGGTTAAAAGAAGGGGAGGGGGCATGGTGTTAAAGATGGTCTAGGTATTAAAGATGGTCTAGGCCAGGTGGGTGGATCACCTGAGGTCAGGAGTTCAAGACCAGCCTGCCCAACATGGCAGGGGCCTGTAATCCAGCTACTTGGGAGGCTGAGGCAGGAGGATTGCTTGAACCTAGGAGGTAGATTTTACAGTGAGCCGAGATAGCCCCACAGTACTCCAGTCTGTGTGACAAGCGAAACTCCATCTCAAGAATAAATAGCCGGGCGTGGTGACTCAAGCCGGTAATCCCAGCACTTTGGGAGGCCGAGGCGGGTGGATCACGGGGTCAACAGATCGAGACCATCCTGGTCAAAATGGTGAAACCCCATCTCTACTAAAAATACAAAAAATTAGCTGGGCATGGTGATGCGTGCCTGTAATTCCAGCTGCTCAGGAGGCTGAGGCAGGAGAATTGCCTGAACCCAGGAGGCGGAGGTTACAATGAGCCGCGATCGCGCCATTGCACTCCAGCCTGGGTAACGAGCGAAACGCCGTCTCAAAAAAAAAGTAAATAAATAAATAAAATAAAGATGGTCTAAGGGATAATTGAGCTGGGGGAATCTAAACTGAGGGGCAAAATAGTCAAAGGAGTGTTGGTTTAGATGACAGGCAGAATTAGACAGTGGCTTTAATGCAGAAAATTTAAAACATGTAGAAGAGTGGAGGGAAGAGTTAATGACCTTCCAGTTACAGCTGTGCTACAGTTGTCAGTTATCAGTGTTTCGTCAGTTTTGTTTCATCATCTTACACCCTCCAGCTTTCATTACTTTTTTTTTTTGAGATGGAATCTCCCTCTGTTGCCCAGGCTAGAGTACAATGGTGCGATCTTGGCTCACTTGAAACCTCTGCCTCCCAGGTTCAACCAATTCTCTTACCTCAGCGTCCTACTCAATTGAGATTGCAGGCATGCACCACCACACCTGGCTAGTTTTTTTGTATTTTTATTAGAGATGGGGTTTCACCACGCTGGCCAAGTTGATCTCAAGAACTCCTAACCTCAAGTGATCCATGCCTTGGCTTCCCAGAGTGCTAAGATTATAAGCATGAGCCACCGTGCCCTGTCTTAAATTGCTTTTGATTTTTTTGTTTTGCTTTTTTTTGGAATATATTGAAGTAATCTCTGACATATTGGTTCACATATTAAAAAGTCAGTATTTTAGCATATATCTCTGAAAGTGCTGTTCCAGTAACAATGTCAATATCACACCTAATAAAATTAGTTTATTCATATCTAATTCGTGTTCAAATTTCTCTAGTTTCATAAATGTGTCATTTATGATTATGTTGTTCAAATCAGGATCCAAACAGGAGCCACATATCATGTTTGATTTTTAGTTGTTTTAATCTAATTTTAATCAAATCTGTAACTCTTACCACTGTAACTGTTTCTCTTCCCTCCATTTATTTGGTGAAGAAACTAGGTTGTTAAAACTAGGTCGTTAGAGAATTTCCCAACATTCTGGATTTGGCACGTTGCTTCTTTATGTCATTTAATTTGATTTTCTCTGCGCTTCATTTCTGTAGAGTGGGTTAGACCTGTAGTGAGCTATGCAGTAGACCTTTCTGTGATAGAAATGTTTTGTATCTGTGCTATCCGTTACAGTAGCCACTAGCTGTTGACTACTTGAATGGTGGCTAGTGTGGCTGAGAAACTTTTTAAATTTTTATTTAAATGGCCACATGTGGCTAGTGCCTAACATGTTGGATGGCACAGATCCAGAGGGTTGTTCAGATCCGCGTTCAGTTGCTTTCACAAGAATACTTAATAAATGATGCTGTGGCCCTCCTATTACATCGTTTCAGGAGGTATAGAGCGTCTTTTTGATTATGCCAAAATTAGAATTGGTTTAGATGTTGAAAGCCTAATCCATCCATTGTAAAGTTCCACATTGCCCTTTCATTTAGTGGTTCTAACAGCCATTGATGATTATTTCCTAGGTCTATTTTGTAAGTAAAAGTAAGCTTTCGTTACTTTTTTTTTTTTGAGATGGAGTCTCTCTTAATCAAAAAAATGTTTATTTTTCTCATTCTTTTACTGAAATTCCTCTATGAAGAATTTTTCCTTATGAACTTCATAGTTTCCTTGAAATAAATTCATACAAGAGAACTAGGAGAAATGCTTTTCCCTTTTGTCAGTTTTTAAATTAATTATTGATGTCACTTCAAAAGGTGATCAATAAAAAAAATTTTGTGTGTCAGATGCTCTTGCCCAGGCTAGAGTGCAGTGGCATGATCTATATCCTCAACCTTGAGCCCAAGGGATCTTCTTGCCTCAGTCTTCCAAGTAGCTAGGACCGTGGGCGCACACCACCATACCTAGCTAACTGTTGTATTTTTTGTAGAGAGAAGGTTTTGCTGTGTTGGCAAGACTGGTCTGAAACTCCTGGGCTCAAGTGATACTCTCACCTTGGCCTCCCAAAGTGCTGGGGTTACAGGCATGAGCCACTGTGCCTGGCCAATTCTTTTTTTTTGATTACTCTAGTTTTTTTATGTATTGAATTTATGATCAGTTGTCGTCATTATTCTTTTTTCATGTTCACATTGTGCCATCTCTAGCCATTAGGAATTACTAAGTTGGTTCCTGTATTTTTTAATTCCCTCCCCCATTTATCTTTGATAGTTTCTTGTTTTCTTGAACACTAAGATGTCCCAGGCTCTTGTATACTTCCTGTATCATACCTGGAATCAGCCATGTTTCCAAGGAACCCTGATCCTTTTCATAGAAAATACTATATGGAGGCAACAGTTTGTGTGTTGTCCTGTTCGTTACTACTGGTTGTCATTGTTTCCGGGTCTTTTTGTAGGTAGTACTTGGTAAATCATTAATTCACGGGGATATTTCAAATTTACAGATACAGGCTAATTTTGGGTGTTATACTTGTATCTTTTTCTCTTATGCTGAATATCTTGGTTCTTCAAATGATATTTTTACTTATGTAAGTATCACAACATATATGTGTTTCTAAATAATACAGTATTGCTACTAACAATAAGGCTGTTAAATGCAATCTGGGATTTTGTTTTCCTTGTCTGGACATAGCCCACTAGAATGTAAAGTCAAACTACTGTGCTTAAATTCACTTGAAAGGATTTTTTTCTTTGTGTCATACGGCCACCAACTTAATATATAGTTAGGTTTTTTGTTCTGTAATATTAGGATTGTATTTTCTTTTATTAATTTTTAATTGTATATATGTAGTTCTATGTAGGCAAAGTAAGGTAGAGTCAGAATTCTGGCTTCTATCCTTTCCCCTTCCATCTGTAGATAACCATTTTTATTAAGTTTTGGTTTCTATTTTTGTTTTTGAAAATATAAGTAACTATATAGATTTATATATGCTTTCCCCTTACATAAAAGGCAGCCTGCTTTGTACCTTTATTTTTCTGTTTTTAACCTAAACACATATCCTAGATATTACTCCATGTCAGAATATAGCCATCTTCCTTATTGCTTTGCACAACTGCATTTTATGTGTTGCATTTTATGGATGTACTGTAATTTAACCACTCTCCATTTGGTGAATATTTGAGTTTTTTTCAGCTGTCTTGTTATGAATAATGCCAGGAAGAACCATGAGCAGCATTTTACATGTGTCATTGCATATTTTTTGCCAATTTATCTTGGGGATGTCTACAAGTAAAATTGCTAGGTAATTTCACCATTACACTCCTCTACATATGAGTTGAAGCATTTCTCATTCCCATGAGCAGTATCTGAAAGTACTGTTCTTTAATGGAGGAATATGAGACTGTTTTTTTGTTGTTGTTGTTTAAATTTAGTATGAATAACCATGTTGGTCATGTTTTACTTAAATTGATAGTGGGTTATTTAGATTAAGGTAGATTTTAATTATCTCAGGAGCTTTAGAAATTATCTATGCCCAGGCCCTTCTAGAAGAGATTCTGATTTAATTGGTTATGGTAGGGTTAGGGGCATTTGATTTTTTTTTTTTTAAAGCTTTCCTTGATGATACTGTGCCACAGGATTGAGAATCTCAAATTATAAAACTATTCTTTCAAATATTTAGAAATTGGACTATTAAAAAGCATTTACTTTGGCCAGGTGCAGTGGCTCACACCCTCAATCCCAGCACTTTGAGAGGCTGAGGAGTGGGTGTATCACCTAAGGTCAGGAATTCAAGACAAGCCTGGCCAACATGGTGAAACCCCATCTCTACTAAAAATACAAAAAATCAACCAGGCGTGATGGCTAGTGCCTGTACTTCCAGCTACTCAGGAGGCTGAGGTGGGAGAATCGCTTGAACTTGGAGTTTGGAGGTTATAGTGAGCTGAGATTGTGCCACTGTGCCCTAGCCTGAGTGTCAGAGCAAGAGTGTCTCAAAAAAAACAAAAAGCACTTACTCTATGTATGTCTGTAATTTGTTTACAGATTTCTCTTTGGGAGTAATTTGCATTCAACAAATATTTCCTAATTGATAAGGAATCCAGAGATTCTGATTGTGACTGAAAACTCCTCTCTCTCTCTTTTTTTTTTTTTTTTGAGACGGAATTTTGCTCTTACTTTCCCAGGCTAGAGTACAATGGCACGATCTCGGGTCACCACAGCCTCTGCCTCCCAGGTTCAAGCTACTCTTCTGCCTCAGCCTCTCGAGTAGCTGGAATTACAGGCATGCGCCACCACTCCCAGATCATTTTGTATTTTTAATAGAGAAGGGATTTCTCCATGTTAGTCAGGCTGGTCTCGAACTCCTGACCTCAGGTGATCTGCCCATCTCAGCCTCCCAAAGTGCTGGGATTACAGGCATGAGCCACCACACCTGTCCTCAAAACTCTTACAATGTCAATTCCAAATATAGATAAATACAAAACCATGACTTATGAGACTATGTCTGTAACTTGCGTAGTATTTTTTGTTTTTGGTAACATTACTTCCAGCCATTTAGGCATATTTGTTGGATGACCACTATTATAACAGGATTAAAGTTTTTAAAAAAATGTTTCTTTAAATTTCATAGACACTGACTTGGACATAAAATTATCCGTTAGTAATCTAGGTTAAATATTAGCTTGAAAACAGAAGTGACAACAGAGACACATTCTATAATACTAATCATTGATGGATGTTCTCTAGTTAAAATAATTTAAAAGAATCATCTGGTAATAGTGGGTTCAAAACTGAAAACCTTGCTACTAGGAGTTTGGAATTTCAGACACTACCCAAGAGCTATGGAATCAGAATCTGCATTTTAACAAAAGCTTCAAATGATTGATAGGCACATTACAATTTAAGAACTGGTCTTAATGGGTTTTAAATTAGTATGTAAGAACTGCTGGATTTTTTTAAAATGAGGAATGATCAGTGAAAGAAATTATTCTGGGATTGGCTGTGCGAGGCGGCTCACACCTGTAATCCCAGCACTTTAGGAGACCAAGGTGAGCGGATCACGAGGTCAGGAGTTCAAGAGCAGCCTGGCCAACATGGTGAAACTCCATCTCTACTAAAAATACAAAAATTAGCCAGGCATGGTGGCAGGCGCCTGTAATGCCAGCGCCTTGGGAGGCTGAGACAGGAGAATCTCTTGAAACCAGAGGTGGCTGTGAGCCGGGATCACACCACTGCACTCCAGCCTGGGCAAAAGAGCGAAACTCTGTCTCAAAGAAAAAAGAAATTAATCTGGGATTGAAAGGTAACAGCTATTACTTTCTATCTTTCTGTAATGACATATGGATAGCATTGAGATTTGAAAGTGACAGTAGGCTTGCATATTCATTATAAGAGTGACCACAGGAGTTTTGTGGCTGCCTAATTTTTTATCTATTTCCAAGAAAAGTTTGACACCTGTGAATTCTTTAATGCAAATAAGCTATATGTGGGATTATAATTTAAACTCATTCTACTAAAATGATTCTGACCATATGAAAATAACGTTTAGTGTATGCTAACAATTATAAAAGTTTGTTTTTTTTTTTTGGTGGAGATGCCGGGGAACGAACCTGGAGCCTTATAACAACAATTATAAAAGTTTGTATTTTTGTTTTAAAAGGAAATTAACTTATAATAGATGACTTTCTTCTAAGTCATGATCAGTCTGCTTTTTGTTTAGACAGATGTAGCAGCTCCAATTCTAGAGCCAAATAGCAAACAATGAGTCAAAAAGGGAACCAGTGATAGTTGATGTACTTTTTTTCCCATCATTTTTATGATAATTTATGAGCTAATATAGGTGGATTCTTTAGTGTATTTTCCCACGTTTAAGGGTTTTCTGAAACAAAAAGTCAAAAAGGAACTGGTGATGATAGATGTGTGTTTTTTCCCATCATTTTTATAATTTGTGAGCTATTATAGATGGATTCTTTAGTGTATTTTACCACTTAAGTGTTTTCTGATGCCTAAATATTAGTTCAATTAATTTAGGAATATTTTGAGGGCATAGCATTGTTTGTAAATGCCAGCATTTGGAGGCTTTTATTTTATGGCTTCTCAGTGTGCCATTATGGCCTTTATTACAGTATTTGATGTTAGAATATGACTTTTTAATGTGTTGATGCTTGAATAGAGCTATTCTCAAGCTGGAATAACTGAGACTGAATGGACAAGTGGATCTTCAAAAGGCGGACCTCTGCAGGCATTAACTAGGGAATCTACAAGAGGGTCAAGAAGAACTCCAAGGAAAAGGGTGATGCAAGGCTTATTCCTTAGAATTGGGTTTTCAGATTGGTAGGGTTTTAGTATTATTTTATATTTATTGTTTTCGTTTTGTTTTCAAACTAACAGGTGGAAACTTCAGAACATTTTCGTATAGATGGTGCAGTAATTTCAGAGAGTACTCCCATAGCTGAAACTATAATGGCTTCAAGCAACGAATCCTTAGTAAATATGTTTCATAAACTATACAAGTGGTTTTCTTTGTAAATTGCCCTTTAATTGGAAATGGGGAGGTGGTAAATTTTGGCAAATCTCAAATTTACATTTTTTTTTTTTTTTTTTAGTTTTAAACTGATTTTTCCCATATAGTTCTGAATTTTAGAATTTTTCTATAATATCCAATTTATGTACAGAAATCTGATTCATGTACAAGAAAGTATAAGAATAATTTTTGTTAAAATATTTGAAGAATGAGCTTTGTATATGAAGCACAGAGTTGTGTTTGTAGCTGCTGTTGCTTAAATCTTTACTAAGGGAAAATTTCTAATATTACAGAGATAAAATATCTTTTTAAGTGTCTGTGTTATGTTTGGATAATTCTGAGTCTGAATAATTTGAATCTTGGCAGGTTGTCAATAGGTTGACTGGAAATTTCAAGCATGCATCTCCTATTCTGCCAATCACTGAATTCTCAGACATATCCAGAAGAGCACCAAAGAAACCATTGACAAGAGCTGAAGTAAATGAATATCATTTAGATCGATGATATCATTGATCTTTCAAAGAGGAAATATTTATTTATATTTGTTTTCTTTTTTTTTTTTTTTGGAGTGGGAGGGAGCAGAGCTTTCTTTATTGGGTGGTGTGTGTAAATATGCATATATTATTATTTTAAGGACACTTTTATTATTGAAAACAGAAATAACTAATATATTATGACATGCTAATACTCTCCTCTTGCTACTATATTCGTTTTAAGCTCCAGTTTTCAAGGGAGTGGTCATTTGTGTGCTGCTTACAAATATGTTCTGTTTGTCATGAATGCAAGTTTGAAAGTGCTGCTGGGCTGTGAGGGTGGCTACACTTTATTTTGTTGACGGGTCAAATAAGAGACTTTAAGGTTACTTTATGTGGTGCTGGAATGGATTAACTTCTGTATAATTAAGCTTGAAAGTACTAACTGCATGGTGCATATTAATTTGGATGAATCCTTACAAAAGGAGCTGAAACATTTATTATTTTGTTCTGGACATAAAGGTAAACATAGCAAAACAAGCCAAACATTATTCTGTATTCTTTAAATTTGGGCATATTGCATTGACTCTATAGTTTAAAAACAAAATTTGCTAAAGGTTCATGTTAATTGAGTATCTTCTGAATTTTATCTTTTATTATAGAATTCTTAAATGAAGAAACAATATACTCTTAATAGTGAAAAACATAGAAAATCAATGAGGGAATTAACACTGCCGTGTTAGGTTACTGAATTTTTTTCCCCCAATTATTTGAATGTGTGGCAGTTTTTCACCCTGATAACTACATAGATAAGGTATCTTTATATTAAAGAAACTTGAAGAGAGCCTTGGAAACATGTGAATACCTAGATAATACTTTAGAAATGGCAGTTTTAAAATCTGCCAAATGATAGAGTTTAAGGGTATTTGTTCTCTAAAACTTTTATTTAAAATTATGTTTTAATTATTTTGCGTTTACACTAAATTTTAACTTGTGATTGTTTGTTTGTTTGTTTCTTATTAGGTGGGAGAAAAAACAGAGGAAAGAAGAGTAGAAAGGGATATTCTTAAGGAAATGTTCCCCTATGAAGCATCTACACCAACAGGAATTAGGTATTCAGATACATTGACACGAATACTGGTGTATTCTAGTAGGGAATCTTTATTTTTAATTCTTCATCACAAAGTTAATGTACCTCTGTGCCCAGAATTAAGCTGTTCTTTTGGACTCTGGTACAATAGTGCATGCCTATAGTCCCAGCTACTCAAGAGACTGAGGCAGGTGGATTGCTTGAGCCCAGGAGTTTGAGACCAGTCTGGGCAACATAATGAGACTCCATCTACTCCCTGACTCTTAAATAAATAAGTGAATGAACTGTTTTTTGGGGGAACAGTTTAATTGCCCTAAGCCCACCAGTAAATACCCTTGAAAGTTGAATGAGTTTCAAAATTAACTTTGGTAAAAGGATTTTAAGTAAATCATTTACTTACTACTTAATTTATATTTTAAAATCTAAACAAAATCTAGTAAGAGATACTTTTCCCCCCAAATTTCTCTTTTCTAATTGAAAAGGCTGTATTTGTGTATATATATTTAATACATATTATATGCATATATATATATATATGTTTTGTTTTTGTCTTTGTTTTTGTTTTGTTTTGGGGATGAAGTCTTACTCTGTTACCCAGGCTGGAGTGCAGTGGCATGATCTTGGCTCACTGAAACCTCCACCTCTTGGGTTCAAGCAGTTCTCCCGCCTCAGCTCCTGAGTAGCTGGGACTACAGGTGCGTGCCACCACAGCCAGCTAATTTTTATATTTTTAGTAGAGATGGGGTTTCACCATGTTGGCCAGGCTGGTCTCGAACTCCTGACCTCATGATCTGCCTTGGCCTCCCAAAATGCTGGGATCATAGGCCTGAGTCACCGTGCCTGGCCTGTATATCTTAAATTTTAACTGAAAGAAACACAACCAAAACTATGTTTTGTTTTTCCTCTTTACTCCTAAACATTAGCTTTGAAGAGCCTTTAAGAAGGCAGGTTTAGTGACTATCAATGTTTTGAATATTATTTTCTGATAAAGAATGCATTTAACTTTTTTTTTTTTGAGACGGAGTTTTGCTCTATTGCCCACACTGGAGTGCAGGCGTGCAATCTCGGCTCATTATAATCTCTGCCTCCCAGGTTCAAGGAATTCTCCTGCCTCAGCCTCCTGAGTAGCTGGGATTACAGGCACCCGCCAGTCAGCCTGGCTAATTTCTGTAGAGACAGGGTTTCACTGTGTTGGCCAGGCTGGTCTTGAACTCCTCACCTCAGGTGACCCGCCCTCCTCAGCCTCTCAAAGTGCTGTGATTACAGGCATGAGCCACCATGCCTGGCCCATCTAACTTTTAAAATAGAAAATGTTGAGAAGTTTTAAATAGGCTGACTGACCTCACTGCTTTATATATATATCGATTTTCTGTTATGTCAGAGAATGTGCTTGGAATTAGGAGTGGCAATGACATTTTATGTTATTTCTCTAAATCATGTCTTTATCTAAAATTATTTTTCTCTTCCTCCTTTCACTCCCAACAGTGCTAGTTGCCGCAGACCAATCAAAGGGGCTGCAGGCCGGCCATTAGAACTCAGTGATTTCAGGATGGAGGAGTCTTTTTCATCTAAATATGTTCCTAAGTATGTTCCCTTGGCAGATGTCAAGTCAGAAAAGACAAAAAAGGGACGCTCCATTCCCGTATGGATAAAAATTTTGCTGTTTGTTGTTGTGGTAGTTTTTTTGTTTTTGGTCTATCAAGCTATGGAAACCAACCAAGTAAATCCCTTCTCTAATTTTCTTTCTGTTAACGCTACAAAATCCAACTGAATGGTATCTCTTTGGCACAGTCAACTTGGTCTCCTATTTTTAATAACTGTGTTGAAAAACATTTGTGTACACTTGATGACTCCAAGAACTAAAAATAATGTGATTTTGCCTCAGTAAATGTAGTATTCCATTGAAAAGCAAACAAAATATATATAAATGGACTTCATTAAAATGTTTTTGAACTTTGGACTAGTAGGAGATCACTTTGTGCCATATGAATAATCTTTTTTAGCTCTGGAACTTTTTGTAGGCTTTATTTTTTTAATGTGAGCATATTATTTCATTTTTTAAAAATGTCTATGTTTTTTGTGTATTTGGGAAACAAGAAGGGCAAAACATGGTAGTATAATGTGAAGCAACACATTTAAATACTTAGAATTCTTACAGAAAAGATTTTATGAATTCTCTGCTGAATAAAAACTACAAACGTGAGACAATGAAATTCAGTAAGAGGAAAAGTAACTTGGTTGTACTTTGTGTAACTGCAACAAAGTTTGATGGTGTTTATGAGGAAAAGTACAGCAATAATGTCTTCTGTAACCTTTATTAATAGTAATAATATTGTTGCAGCCCTATCATACTTTTTAAGACTTACAGTATCATGAAAGTCCTACTTCAGTAGACCCATTTATATACAATTGATTTTTAGCAGAGATCATTTAGTGTAACATACACATATTTTAGAGAATTGTTAGCTAGCTATTTATGTTTTAAAAAGCTGTTAGCTAGCTATAAGGCTATAATCAGTCAATCCAGTTTGCAACCAAAATATGTTTTGGATAAGTGTATGTATGTTTAGAAGTTAGAAATTGTAAACACTGGTCTTACGTTTCACTTAGATTCATTATTGCATTGTCTAGTTACCAAAAGGAAATTTTGCCAAGTTTTTTTTGCCCTGTATTTCCCAGCATAATTTGATTAGAAAGTACAGAAAGGGCCGGGCATGGTGGCTCACGCCTGTAATCCCAGCATGTTGGGAGGCCCCTACGGAAAGATCATGAGATCAGGAGATTGAGACCATCCTGGCCATAAATGGTGAAATCCTGTCTCTACTAAAAATACAAAAAAATTAGCTGGGCGTGGTGGCGTGCGCCTGTAGTCCCAGCTACTTGGGAGGCTGAGGCAGGGGAATCGCTCAAACCTAGGAGGTGGAGGTTGCAGTGAGCCAAGATCACGATACTGCACTCCAGTCTGGCAACAGAGCGAGACACTGTCTCAAAAAAGTACTTGCTTTTATTTTACATCATACGCAGTAGTTAATAAAGTTGTATACTCTGAATAAGAGGTGGGCATTATGATTTTTTTTGTTTTTAAATTTTTAAATTTTATTTTTATTTTTTGAGACAAAGTCTCACATTTGTCACCCAGGCTAGAGTGCAGTGGCACAATTACAGCTCACTCCAACCTCTGCCTCTTGGGTTTAAGCAGTTCTGCCTCAGCCTCCGAGTAGCTGGGATTACAGCTGCCTGCCACCATGCCTGGCTAATTTTTGTAGTTTTAGTAAAGATGGGGTTTTACCATGTTGGCCAGGCTGGTCTTGAACTCCTGACCTCAATTGATCCATCCGCCTTGGCCTCCCAGAGTGCTGTGATTATAGGCATGAGCCACTGTGCCCAGCTGGCATTATGATTTGTGTACTCTTGAAATGGTTCTTTGTGGTTGATTTTTTTTTTAAGCTGAAATTTACCTCATGAATTACCTGGTTACGTAAAGTAGTAGGTGATGAAAATTTCAATAGAATTAAATAAGACGTAAACATTTTAAACTGACTCATTTGAGTTTCAACTTTACAGTCATTGGCCATAAAGCACACTAAAAATGTAAGTTATTTTTAAATATCATCTGAAATAAAGATACTCTTTAAAAAGGAAGAAGCTGAAAATGTATATTTAGACCAGCACACAATTTTGGTTTCAGTTAGCCCTGTTCTGATATTTAACTTTTATATAGTTTGTACACATTTTCACATACTTTGCAATTAAGACCAGAAAGACTTGGAGGTCTTTCTGCAGAGTGAACAAGTCCTACAGAGTGAGTGGGAAGCTTACTCCTATATCAGAAATGTTTGCCTCTCTGAGTAAAAGTGTTTCTTTGAGATGAGCCATAGAGGGGGCACCTTTTACTCAACTTTTCTTTGTTTTTAAACTTTGTTTCCCATATTGTTTTCAGTCTTTTGTTTATGATTAGAAATTGTGAGAAGCTTCATTTAGTGTTTAAAAATGTGGGGAGATAAATCAGACTTAACATGTATGTAAGATCAATTCACTTTAAAGTATGGTCCAAATAGCAAAAATAGGACCAGGTAAAACATGTAGTCATATTTTAAAAACATGTACTTGGTCTTTTGTGTGTGTCTGTTTTATTCCATTAGAATAAATGTGTCCTTGATGTAAATGCAAAGCATTTCTTTCTGATTAAATTGTAGATGTAGACTTTACAATATAATTCAATAATAAAAAAGTAATTAACCTCTAATTTTGTCGTTGCAACAAATGATTTTCAGATAGCACAAACTATGATTTCTAGATAACAATTTTTATGTGGGACTTATGGATTACTTGGTTTTCTTATTTCAGTCTGTTCATACATTTTACTTCTAATCATAATCAGGTCCTCATTTGTTTAAAGGTAAGCAATGCATAGCTATTATACTCGCAGAGTGACATTAGGAAGCTCTCCACGGCACTCTCCCACTCTACGGTATAGTGATTGCTACTTGTCGGTCTAGTTCCTTTTTTCTACAAGTTTTACTATATTTACCTATGACCCTTATGATTGTTAGTCTTGCTTTGAGATTAAGCCAGTGTCACTGTGATACATCATGGAGCTGTGCTCACAAGATGAAAGTGCCATTCTGTCTCCATCATTCATATGTCCGCAGAGGTGATTTTACTTAGAGTGTTTGTCAAGGTAGTATAGACACCATAATTAATTAGAAAGCAAATCGCATCAAAGGCTTAAAACAACGGTAAGTTTTATTGCATACTTACCATGTGCTAGGGACTCTTCTGTGTGTTTAATATGTATTGTTTCACTCCAGCCTCATGATAGTCCTATGGAGTAGGCATTTTCTTAATTTCATTACAAATGAGAAAATTGATGGTTAGAGATGTTAAGAAATTTCATGTTTGCACACAGCTGAGAAGTGATGGGTCTGGTTGCATATAATATCGCAGAGGGAACCTTAAAGACCAGTTCTCTGTTTACATGCTTTAAACCAGTTTTTCTGTGTTCAGCCCTGCTCCTTTCGCAACTTTGGTGGTATCTCTTAAGTTTTGAACCGCTAAAGGGTTCTTTTGGGTAAAGTAGCTCACTCCTAGGTTTTTGTTTTCTTTGAGGCAAGGTCTCACTTAATCTTTCTCTGTGGCTACTTAAATTTAAACTTTCTGCCCAGGTGTGGTGGCTCATGCCTGTAATCCTAGCACTTTGGGAGTCTGAGGTAGGTGGATCACCTGAGGTCAGCCTGGCCAACATGGTGAAACCTTGTCTCTACCAAGAATACAAAATTAGCTAAGGCAGATGGATCACCTCAGGTCAGGAGTTGGAGACCAGCCTTGCCAACATAGCAAGACAATTTTATTAGCCAGTTTGGTGGTGGGTGCCTGCAGTCACAGCTACTCAGGAGGCTGAGGCAGAAGAATCACCTGAATCTGGGAGGCAGAGATAGCAGCTGAGATCATGCCACTGCACTCCAGCCTGGGCAAAAGAGTGACTCCATCTCAAAAAAAATAGCAAATAAATAATAAATTTAAGCCTTCTTTAATTTTGCTAATTCATTTTATGTTTCTTAATCTTTTTTTCTTTTTCTTTTTGGACAGTCTTGCTCTGTTGCCCAGGCTGGAGTGCAGTGGCGCCATCTTTGGCGCCATCTTGGCTCACTGCAACCTCTTCCTCCTGGATTCAAACGAGGCTCTTATTTCAGCCTCCTGAGTAGCTGGGACTACAGCTGCACCACCACGCCCAGCTAATGTTTGTATTTTAGTAGAGACGGGGTTTCACCATGTTGGTCAGGCTGGTCTTGAACTCCTGATCTCAGTTGATCCTCCCAAAGTGCTAGGATTACAAGCATGAGCCACCATGCCAGACCTAATCTCTCTCTTTTTTTAATCTTCCAAACAGCTTTTTTGAAGTATCTTTTGCTGTCTCACTCTACCTTTGTCATCTGTGTTAAACACTTTTTTAATTGTCAGTATTCAAGTCTCAGTAGAAAGAGGCTGTAAGCCTATGGTCAGCCTGTCACCTTCAGTTGATGGTCACTGAGAGCTTTTCAGAATTCACATATCCTTTTCACCAAAGATTTGGTTGAAAAGTAGAGGAGCAGACAGGGTTTGAGTGCAAGGGGACTCTATGTATTCTGTTAAGCTCTCCTGATTATGGAATCATTAGTTGAACTGACAACCTTTATACTATATTTACGGTGCTTTTAAATGGATTGAAATTTATTGGTTACCAAATTTTGCCACTTACTGCAAAAGGCATTTGATGCTTCCTCTGTGAGAAGTACAATATGTAGTTAATGGTGCATGGGTGCAGTTTTAGAATTTTTTTTGGACTTAGGTTGAGGCATTCTTTGGAAAATTGCTTTTTAAAAGCATTTGATGCTGGGCATGGTGGCTCATGCCTGTAATCCCAGCACTTTGGGAGACTGAGGTAGGCAGATCACCTGAGGTCAGCCTGGCCAACATGGTGAAACCTTGTCTCTACCAAGAATACAAAATTAGCCGGGTGTAGTGGTGCATGCCTGCAGCCTCAGCTACTTAGGAGACTGAGGCAGGAGAATCTCTTGAACCTGGGAGGCGGAGATTGCAGTGAGCCAAGATCATGCCATTGCAATGTAGTCTGGATGACAAGAGCAAAACTCCGTCTCAAAAATAATAAAATTAAAACATATTGACTATTCCATTAACTACTAACCAGGTAGCAATTTAAATATTGCTATTAATTGTTTATTGAGAGAAACTAAAAATGATCTTATAGTCAAAGAACTAAAACTGTGCTTATTTGGAATAAATTAAAGCTGATTATAAAAATTCAGTCCTGACAATAGACCACTAATGACTTTATTGTCCAGAAATTAACACATTGGTCTTGTGAATACGTTTTCTTTCTTTTTGGAGGAATGGGATATAAGCCTTTAGCAGTTATAAATGCATTTCCAACTTATGATGAATTTATTGGGACATACACCTCATCATAAGTTGAGGAGCATCTGTACATGGCATGTCATGGATGGACCCAGCAGACGTAATGTTGATGGAGCAAGCCTGGGATAAAGTAGTGCATTATTCCATTCAAAATTCCTAATGTAGAAAAGCAAAAATAGTCTGTGGCTATAGAAGTCAAAATAGTAGATACGTTTGAGGAGGAATGGCTGTTAACTGGGTATGAGAGATTCTTGGACGGTGTTAGAAATTTTGTGTCTTGGCTAGGTGTGGTGGCTTAAGCCTGTATTCCCAGCTCTTGGGAAGCCAAGGCAAGGTAATCACTTAAGCCCAGAATACTAAACCAGCCTGGTTAACATAACAAGACTCTCTTTCTATATTTTTTGTAGGAAAAATACAGGTGTGGTGGTACATGCCTGTAGTCCCAGCTACTCAAGAGAAGACTATCTTAAAAAAAAATTACCCAAACTGAAGCAGAGAGAGGAAAAGGCTGAAAAGAACCTGAACAAAGCCTCAGTAAACTGTGGGGCACTCTCTAGCAGTCTTTCATAGATGGTAATACAAGGGGAGGAGAGAAAGTGTAAGAAATGGCTAGAAATTTAAGTTTTGCAAAACTAAGCACCTAGAGAAAACCGTACACAAGACGTAGGTAACTAGCAGTTAGTTACTACTACTCAGTAACAGTGCAAGCCAGAGAGTAATGAAACATCTTTTTTGAGATGGAGTCTGGCTCTGTCACCCAGGCTGGAGTGCAGTGCAGTGGTGGCATCCTGGCTCACTGCAACCTCTGCCTCCTGGGTTCTTGCAATTCTTCTGCCTCAGCCTTCCAAGTAGCTGGGACTACAGGCACATGTCACCACGCCCGGCTAATTTTTTCTATTTTGGTAGAGACGAGGTTTCACCATGTTGCCCAGACTGGTCTCAAACTCCTGAGCTCAAGGAATCCACCCACCTTGGCCTCCCAAAGTGCCAGGATTACAGGTGTGAGCCACTACACCCAGCCAATGAAACATCTTTAAAGTGATGAAATACCAGTGTAGATAACCAGCAAAAATATTCTTCAAAGTAAACGTATCTTCAGATAAAACTACCAGTGGAGGCCAGGCTCCATGGCTCACGCTTGTAATCCCCCACTTTGGGAGGCCAAGGCGGGCGGATCACAAGGTCAAGTTTGAGACCAGCCTAGCGACCATGGTGAAACCCTGTCTCTACCAAAACTACAAAAAATAAGCCAGGTGTGGTGGTGCATGCCTGTAGTCCCAGCTACTCCAGAGGCTGAGGCAGGAGAATTGATTGAACCAAGAAGGTAGAGGTTGCAGTGAGCCAAGATCACACCAGTGCACTCCAGCCTGGGCAACAGAGCATCCATTTCAAAAACAAAGCAAAAATGTACCAGTGGAAAAGAATACTAGATTTAAAACTGGAACTACACAAAGAATGAAGCATGCCAGAGATGGTAAATTTATGGGTAAAGATTGTGTTGGGTTTTTTTGTTTGCTTGTTTTTTTGAGACAGAGTCTCACTCTGTAATCCAGGATGGAGTGCAGTGGCGCAATCTCCGCCTCTTGGGTTTAAGCAATTCTGCCTCAGCCTCCCAAGTAGCTGGGACTTCAGGCTCACGCAATCACACCCAGCTAAATTTTTGTATTTTTAGTAGAGACGGAGTTTCACCATGCTGGCCAGGATGGTTGCAACCTTCTGACCTCATGATCAGCTTGCCTTGGCCTCCCAAAGTGCTGATATTAACAGGCGTGAGCCACAGTGCCCAGTCTCGAACTATCTTAAGTTAGGAATTGTCTGTATATCATTGTATTATAAGTGGTCCAAAGCAGGATTGTCCAATCTTTGACTTCCCTGGGCCACACTTGTACAAGAATTGTCTTGGGCTACACATTAATTCCACTGACGCTAACGATAGCTGATGAGCTTAAAAATTAATCATGGCTGAGCATGGTGGCTCACACCTGTAATCCCAGCACTTTGGGAGGCTGAGTTGGGTGGATCACCTGAGGTCAGGAGTTCGAGATCAGCCTGGCCAACATGGCGAAACCCCATCTCTACTAAAAATTTTTAAAAATTAGCGATGTGTGATGGCAGTCACCTGTAATCTCAGCTACTCAGGAGACTGAGGCAAGAGAATCGCTTGAACCCAGGAGAGGTTGCAATAGCCGAAATGGTGCCATTGCATTCCAGCCTAGGTGACCAGACTTTCTCTCAAAAAAAAAAAAAAAAAGATTGCAGAAACAATCTCGTGTTTTAAGAAAGTTTATGATACATTAATATCAAATAAAGTAGGCTTTAGGAAAAGTAGTA